GGAGTTCTTTCCCCAAGTGTATGTTTTTGTCTGCTTTGTCAAAAATCTTATATCTGGGTTCTCAGTCCTATTCCATTGGTCTATGTCTCTGGTCTTGTGCCAGTATCATGCTGTTTTGGTTACTATAGCCTTGTAGTATAGCTTGAAGTCTGGTAAATTGATGCCTCCCACTTTGTTCTTTTTGTTTAAGGTTGCTTTGGCTATAGGAGGTCTTCTCTGTTTCCATATGAAGTATAGAATTATTTTTTCTAGATTTGCAAAAAATGATTTTGGTATTTTAATAGGGATTACATTGAATCTGTAGATCACTTTGGGTAGTATAGACATTTTACCAATGTTGATTCTGCCAATCCATGAGCATGGTATTGTTTTCTATCTGTTTACCTCCTCTGCTATTTCCTTCCTCAGTGTTTCATTGTTCTCTCTGTAGAGGTCTTTCACCTCCTTAGTTAAATATATTTCTAGGTATTTTATTTTCTTTGTTACTATTGTGAAACGTATTGAGTCTTTAATTTGGTTCTCAGCTTGACTGTTGTTGGCATTTGGGAATGGTACTGATTTGTGTACATTGATTTTATAACCTCAGACTTTGCCGAATTTATTTATCAATTCCAGTAGGGAGAAGAGGAGGGCTAAATTCACACTTAAAAGGTGCAGTGCATGCTGTCTTGGGATTGGGCACACTTGTAGCTCTGACTGGGGCTGTGCAAAGACAATTTATGTAACCAAAGCGTCTGTGCCCCTGTAATATTCTGAAATTAATTAATTAATTAATGGGGACTGTCTTTGGTTTGATTTTATACCCTAATTCAAGCAGAAAATATTCACAAATTGTTTTAGACATGGATTTTGACTTTATAGCTGTAAAGTAAAACAAAGCATTTTGTTTATCATTGTTGAGTCATTGTGTTTAGTAATACAAGGAATGAAAAGAAGCAACTCAGTGTTCATAGTGTTGTCCCCAGAGGTTTCTGTTGATTGAGAATTTGCCCTGGGAAATACCGCAGATCTCAAGAGACTTTTTCCTCCTTTTCTTCTGAGGACTAATTTTAATCTTTTCTTTTTGTGTCAGTCCTTTTGACTTTCTCTCTCACTCCTTCCTCTCTTGAAGGAAAGAGACATGACAGAGACAGGCTGGGAAGAAGGAGGTGAGAAGCACCTAAGCAAAGAACACCTTAGGTTGTGTCTCTGCTTCGTGCAAAGCGAACCCCTTAGCTCTTTGTATATTATTGTTTCATTTAATTCAAGTAATTATCGTGTGAGGTAGCTAGTGATTTTATGGAAGAGACAATTAGAATTTAGGAAGTTTACCCAAGTGGTAACTGGTAGAGCTGAGATTTAAACTTAGATGTCCCTGACTCCAAGACATACTCTTTGTGTTGGGCCACCGGGAGGAGATCTGAGACATCCTCTAGCCTAGCCTCCTCATCCTGTATGTAAATAAGTACAGTAAGTGTATGGTTACTACGTATGAAAAAGATTTGCTCAATCACAAACTATGCTAAGCATTTTACATACATTATCTGATCTAATGTGCATACCATACCTCAGAGCTCAGCTGTCTGTACTCTCCAGAATTGTTTGGGAGTTCGTTCCTCTGAGAAATTGAGTGTAGAAGTGTCTTCATGAGTTATGGCTTTTAAAAATACACACATCCACATGTCGTTTTCCTTTTTTATATCAGTGAATGCTGAATATAATAAATCAGAAAAGAGGTTTTTGATAGTTCACCTTATAAATTGCTTTAAACTCCAGTTACAGCTAAACTAGAGTTATTCATTGCATGAGATTACTTTAAAAATTTCTGTATTTTGAAGAAGCACATGTCAAAATAGTTCTTTGCTCAGAAACGCTGGAAGCATCTCTAAGTTTAAGCAAGTTTCCAGTGCAGTGTGTATAATAAATCACCTGTCTCTGTTTCAAAATTGTCAGCAGCAGAATGGAAACTGCAGTACTTACCAGAGGATCAAGTGCTGAAATAAAAATAATCTGCCTTTTAACAATCGCGTTTCTTCGCATAAATCACAGTCATTTTCTGGAAGAAATTGTTTGGTATCTTTACTGAATGAGCAACAATAGCCATTGACCTTTGATAAGTGGAACCTGGGGTGTCATTTGAGATTTCTTCTTGGTTCCTTCAGCATTTGCTAAATGCCTACAGAGCGCATGGAGGTATGGTGGAGAGCGTGGTGGGAGAAAGAGAAACACGATGACCTTGGAAGACCCTGTTCTTGCCCTCGGAGAGATTAATAGCTGTGTCAAATCAAGTGAAGAATGCTAAATCTCGTATTCCTCCTCTTCTCCTTGCTGTTCTCCCTCACAGCCGGTCACTGCTGTGTTCTGGTCCACAGCAGTGATGAGAAATAGGCCTTCCTCTGTGCTTGATAAAGAATGATGGGGTGTATCTTTGCCTATCACATGTACCCAGCATGTAGCCTGTCCTGCCACATGGAACATTCAAAACCCTACCTTTCATGTTGCATATACGCTAATGTAAGTCATAAAAAAGAAAGATAAATCATAAAGACATAGAAAGCCCACTGTCTGTGCTCAGGGAGTGAAAAATTGGATGTCTAAGAAAATCTCAGCCAAAGGTGCACCTTCACCCTTTTCAAGGGTGGGGTGTGGTTGGGCAGGTGCATATGCCGGAGACTCGTTGTGCCACATTGATGTGAATTTGTTCATATCATTTAACCCTCCTGAATCTCAGTGTCTAAATGTGGAAGGAATCAAGACTAACACTATTTATTGGGCACAGGGGAATCTCTTTCTGTCTTCTCTGCATAAATGCATTTTGGTTCTGCTATCCTTGCTTGTGACTCTGATTTCTGTCCCTACAAGGAAGAATGAGCTGGATACTCTATATATGGAATAGCTATAATCAGATGGCGCCCTTCAGCCATGCACTGGAATGACATCCATGGAAGTGGGGTTCCTTACAAGATCCTCTTGCCAGACTTCGAAACTAGGCTTTTCCACGGAGAATGTGTTTACTTGCCATGAGAGAAGCCAGTCTTATTACTTAATCGTCAACCTTGTTTTTTGTCCATCCCCACCCCACTCCAAGTGCTGCTCTGAAGAATTTTTATCTGCTTTCTGAATTGAACTGTCCCCTTTAGAGAGGAAGATGTCCTATAGCTAATGTCATCCTAAGGAGCACGTTGCTGGCTCTGGAGTAGTGTCGAAAACATGTTGAGTAATCATTGCAATAAAGGTCTCTCAGGATGGCTTCTGAGTAGAACTTAGTGTGTTTTTAAGTTTTGAATGTTGATTTTAAAAAGCCAATTTCTTCATAATCATTTCATGCATGTTGTATTTTCTCTAAAAATGATTTGTGAATGAAAAGTCTCTGGAGAACGTGGGGAGAATGGAAAGAGGTGGTTTAGTGAGGCTGACAGGTAGATGGTTAACTAGGGAGTTGGGGGCACAGGGGCTGACGGAGAAGCACTTTAGATCCCCCAGAAATCCACTCTGCTCCAGTCAGGGGGTTGCTTAGATTAAAAAGCTTGTTTCATGTAACATAAATCATACTTCTAAGAACAGGTAATCCGTTGTTTAATTGTAAAGGCAAATCTTCCTATACCATTTTGTTTTAGTATACACATAAAGTTACAGAGATCATATCATTTTGCTCCACTGTTCAGATTAATTTACCACTAAATATATTATTATGTCCTTTAAAGCTATAGAATTTATTCATTTGAAATTTTATTTTATTTTTTTAGAGGCAAGATCTTGCTCTGTTTACCCAGGCTGGAGTACAGTACCATGATCATAGATCACTGTAGCCTCAAACTCCTGGCCACCACACTCAACTATTTTTTTTTTTTTTTCACTTTTTTGTTGAGATGAGGTCTCCCTGTGTTGTTCAGGCTGGTCTGAAACCCTTGGCCTCAAGCAATCCCCCTGCCCTGGCCTCCCAAACTGCTGGGATTACTGGCATGAGCCACTGTACCTGGCCTTTGAAAATGTTCTATTTTTCAGGTTTTAATATTCAGGTTTATGGCTTTCTGTATGAATAAAAGGTCTTTGTTATCTTTTTACATTTAGAAGTCATTCCTTGATAAAATATTATTTTAGGTTTACAAAAAGACCTTCCTCCAAATATACCTGTGCTTTTCTAACTAAAGTTTGAAATAGTGACAAATATAGGGAACAGGCTAGTTTGTTGTAATTGAAAGCATCAGCCCTGAATGATGCAGTTAAGAAAGGATAATTTTGTAAGTCAGTGATGCTTGATGACATGTGTCACTTTTCTTGTTATGTCAAAAGGAAAATAATGAGTTGATTTCCAGAGATATAACTAAAAGCAAATGTGGCCACAGAAGTCTAGCTATTCATATCCCTGCACATTTATTTTCTTTAGATATAGTTAATTGAAGCTCTTATATAAGTTTACATTGGACAATGAATATGTAATAGGAATGTTTTTTAAGAAATTAATATCTTAGAAATTGCAGAATGGAGGACAAATCACTGCTTTGGTCCTGTTTGCTCTCCTCTCTACTTTGAAAGCATTTCTCTAGCAAAAAATAGCTTTCGTGCATAAAATATAGCTGCTTGTAAGTGCCTAGTATGCAAGGTGAAATCAGGCTAAAACAAACACTGAAGGTAACCCCAAAGAGGAAAATGCCACCAAAAGTACCAAGTCACTTCTACCCATTTGATGGGATTATAGAATATGATTTTATGAATAGAAGCGACAATATTTTTAGTGAGAATTAGAGCCACCTTTTGCCTTCTGTACACCAGTCATTACAGTCATTATAGTTCTTAGGAGCAGTCCAACCCTTGGAGTAGGGAAAAAATGACTGAATTGTATGTAAGGTGAAATAAATGGTGATGATACTCATACTGGTTAGAGTCTTGTTCTTCATTCTTGATATGTTTGCTAAGACCCTAATATAGCCTATTTGTATGGATTTATTTCCCTGGTAACATCACAAAAGGGAAGAAGAAAAGCTGTGTTTGATTTATCTCCTCTATTTTCTTACTTTTAGGGCGTGTTGGAGAGTTTTTTGGGCACCGCTGTCTCGGGAGCCATCTTTTGCCTTTTTGCTGGTCAACCACTCACTATCTTGAGCAGCACCGGACCTGTCCTAGTTTTTGAGAGGCTTCTATTTAATTTCAGCAAGTACGTATGCACATGTTTAATTATAAATTAGACTTGTTTGATTGTAGAACATTCACAGTCTAGGTAGGACATAGAATAGTAATTAGGTAGATCCACGAATTGGGATTACCGGAATGTTAAGATTTGGAAGTTGGAAGGGCCTTGGGGATTAAGTAGTCTGACATGCATTTTACTTCTGATTCAGCAGAGGCCCATAGGATGTATGTTGTGCTTGCTCCCTCCCCAGTTATGGATGACAACATCTGGGCTCCTTTGCCCTCTGGCTTCCTGTTGAGTTTGGCTAACGGGTCGCCCCAGCAGGACAGGCAGAGAGAGTGGTCACAGTGTGTCTGCCTTTCCCACCTCGCTGTCTCTGCTGTAGCACCAGCAGCCTGGACTTCAGGCCTTGCCAGGCTCCTCTACTGTGGCTCCAGCCCTCGCCAGGCTCTGGTCGCTGTTTCTTCCTTGGCCTTTTCACGCCTGACATTGGCAGTGGCTTCCCGTGCTTGCTGGGCCCCGAGCGCCTCATCGTTCTTTGTTACTCACACTTCTGTGAATAGCCTCTTTATTGAAGTTTTCCTCAGAATCTCGTTTGAGAGTGCCTTCTATTTCCTGTCAGGACCTTTCCTGATACGCTAGAGAAATTAAATGACTTATGTGAGGTCACATGGTTCATTAGTGACAGAGACTGGATGCCCTTTACTCAGGCTACGCTTCCTCACCCCCGTTCTAGTGCTCTTAACTAAGACAGCTTTCAGACTCAACTGAGTAATCACTAACACTTACTGAGTGCTGATCATGTACCAAGCATTATCCTAAGCACCTTACACGTACTGACTCATTTGATTCTTACAGTAATCCTAGGAGGTAGGGACCACATCCTTTTTTACAGACAAGAAAATAGGTGCAGGCACAGAATAAGTAAATTGCTGAATTTTACCTCACTGGTCATTGGTAAGGCTGTGATTCCTGCTTTCTGACTCCAGAGCCCAAACCCCTTAAGGAATCACTAGACATTGCTAATGAGCGTGACAATTAGGATATTAATATTTTCTTTTAGAAATTGATGGGTCATTTTAAAAAGGGAAAAATTGAGTTAAGTGAATTATCCAAGTGGCCACATTAGTCCACAAATAGATTCAAAATCTAATTGAGTATTCTGGCCTCTTTCTAATGTACTTGATACCTCCAAGAGAGAATTGCCTTTATTGGCAGAACTCAATCCTTAGGTAGGTTGCAGAATTTCATATGGCTTGCTAATACCCTTTGTTGGAATTTCCATATTCTTATATTATTATACATTTTTAGGATTTTGATTTTAGAGTTGTCACTATCTACATAGTATCTCATGAACTTAAGGACTCACATATACCCTTTGAAACTCTCCGTGTTATCAAAAATGATCATAAGATAGAGGAGGGAATGAGGATTTAAAACCAATTTTTTAAAAACTGGGTTGAGAACATCAGCAAGAGTCTTCTAAGAAGTTTAAGTTCCAAATTTTAAATAATGTTACGAGTTTTCTGTAGATCATCATTACAAATCCCTCCTCCATCGTAATTCTCAGAAGAACTTTGGAAAGAATTTTATTCATGTCAGTTTATAGAAAGAGTCAAACAGCTTTTATATGTTTAAGAAAACACTGTGTGAGACAAGAAAGCCTTTGTGGAAAGATTAAACAAGAATACTATAAACAGGAACAAACACGCACAACCTTCACAGAAAGATTTATTGGATGAAATGTGATCAGAACCTTAATCTACAGAAAATGTTTGCATCCCGGTTTGCTTTAAATTATTGTGGGGCAGAAATGGTTTATTTTCACTAAACAAGTTCTTCTCTCACTTTCCCTTTGTTTCATCATAATTGATAACATAATGTAGTTCCAATGGATTTATTTGAAAACAGTTATAAAGCAACAAGAAATATTTGAGAAACATGCTTTAAATTTTACATCATCTAGTAACATGTGCTGAACATTATTTTTTTCACAATGTTATATCATTTGCTTGTGTTACAGCAGCAGTGATATTTTGTCTAGGTACAGAATATTTGTGCAGATCATTATTTCCTAAACTGTGTTTCATCTATTATTAGTTCCATTAGGTGTCTATGAAAAAGAAATCTGTGATCCCAATAAATCTGGAAAGCACATATATGATGTCCACCTCTTGGTAATTCTCCTTATACTTTAGCATACTAAGGGATCTGAGAGGTCTTTCAGTTAAGAAACTATTTTATTTTGTCTTGCCCAGATTTCCTCCAACATATTTTAACGTTTTTGGAGAATTAGGTAAATCTTTTTTTTGTAGGTTCAATGGACTCAAATAGTAATTCCACATAATCCATAGATTTATGTCTGAGGTTTTAATATTTGCTTTGTAAAGGGAGAATCATAAAGGAATATGAATTATATGCTGTCACCTCTTAAAATTGGTAATAGAATGAAGAAAATAGCTCATAATTTTCCAAAAAACATTTGTAATTTTATTGCCTAAATTCTGCGATCTCTTTTTATTATTTAGTATTATTTTAGTATTTTATTAGTATTTTATTTAGTATTTTATTATTTAGTATTATTTATTTTAGTATTATTTTTACACTTTGTATTCCAATAGTAGAGAGTTAGGTTCCTTTTTTTCCTCGAGTGAGGAATCTCAAAGAAGTTTTAGCAATGTTCTCCAAGCTGTATAAAAACTTCACAATTAAAGTTGGATTTGGGCTTCTGTTATTATCATTTGGTCATTCAGTAATTTCTTTCCTATATTCTTTGAACTATTTAGACCTTCAAATTATTATTTTCTTCCATTATATTGCTAGATTTATTCCTTTAGGGAGTTTATATATATCTGTGAGTGGCTGCACATTGATTTCTGTAGCATGTTTCAGATGTGACTTCTTCAGTTTGTCTGTATCCTTGGTTTTATGCTACCCAGAAGCTATAACTCAAAATATCTAGGAATACTGAATGGTAGCATAAAGATATAAATCCATTTTCTCCTTCTAATTTACCATAATTTCTTCTTTGGTCTCTAATATCATTTCCTGTTGCTTTTTATAACTTAATTGCTATTTAAACTTGGCACCAAGGGGACTTTTTGGATGTAATAGTACTATTTTATTAGAGTCATTACTGATGATCAACTTGTTTAAGTTTCCCATCTTTTATTCCTCTTTCTTCTTGGTTCTCTAAACAGACCAGTTTCCTAATGAAGTGCCATAGGTTTTATTGCCTTTACTTGGGTCATTCTTACTGAACTCTTTAGGAGTATAAAAGTCTTTTAGAGTAGCTAATTTGGCATATGGTTTAGGTTCTAAGATTTAAGTTTACACATGCATTTTTTTCCTTTATACCCAAACTTATGGTGTTCCTAACCATTAGCTAGTGAATGGATTTGTTACTCATCCTATCTTGTAAACATCAATTCTATAAACAACTACTCGCATTCTTAGAATGAATCAAGATTGCTCTAACTTTCAGCTTCCTAGGGAAACAAAGCTAGGTAATTGTTGAGAACTTTTGTTTTAAGAAAGAAGTGTGTTGGCTCAGAAGTAATAAAACTCTGTTGCTGAGCTCTTATTGTGACACCAACTCCTTGTTTGATAAATGTAAATTATCTCAAATTAGAATTCAGTTTTTTCTATAGTATGCTTATCTCTCAAAGACATGCATAAGATTAAACAGTGGGATTCCAGGCTTAAAGGGAACTGGAAGGGAATGCCAAAGCTGTCTTCAGAAAACTTCCAGAAAATCTGTAGACAATTACTTTCTACCCGAGTGTTAATAATGTCCTGCTTTGGAAATGTATTCCAGTTTGTGTGATTTGATGAGAAGAGGGAAACAAAAGACAATAACTTTAAGGCCTACCCTATCTTGAGCTAAATACAAATTGGATAGGGGAACCATGATATAATTTTTAAAAGGACCATTCAGGAATTGAGAGATTTGGTTTCTGACCCAGCTCTGCTGTTAAAACTTGACATTGGATAAATTATTTAACTTCCATTGGTCTTAGTGTCCTTCTCTATAAAATGAGGCATATTTGACAGATTGGTAAACGTATTAGTCAGTGTTCTCCAGAGAAACAGAACCAATAAGGTGTGTGTGTGTGTGTGTGTGTGTGTGTGTGTGTGTGTGTGTGTGTGTGTGTGTGTGTAATTGGCTCATGCGATTACAAAGGTTGGCAAGTCCAAAATCCGCAGAGCAAGCTGCCCGGCTGGAGACCCAGGAGAGCCAGGGCACTGGTCTGAGTTCAAAGGCCGTCTGCTATGGAATCGGAAAGAGCTGATGTTGCAGAAGTTCAAAGGCAGAATGCTAGAAAATTATCTCTTGCCCTGGGGGAGGCCAGTCTATTTTGTTCTATCCAGGCTTTCAACTGATTGGATGAGACCCACCCATGTTATTGAGGGTGACCTGCTTTATTCAAAGCTCCCCAAATTAAATATTAGTCCCTCCAAAAATATGTAAAGAAACACCTAGAATAATGTTTGATCAAATATCTGGTCACCTTAGAGTCTAGTCAAGTTGACAAAAAATTAAACATCACAGTACCTAAGGGATTTTTAATTGTGAGATGCTACAATTTTCAGCTATCACAGGACCAGTCGCGTCCTGGTTACATGTGATAGTTCGTAAGCCAAAGACAGTAAGTGTCTTAGTCAAGTCTTCAGCTACAGGCATGCATTCATTCATCCAGCAAGACGATTTGAATTTCATTCTAAGGGCAGTGGGAAGCTACTGAAATGTTTTATGCTGGGTATCTGATTTACATTTAAAAATACTGTTTGGCTGTGGTATGGAAAATGACTTTCAGCAGGGCAGGCATAGATATCAGTGAGGAGGTTCTTACCAGGCAGAGATTAACTGGTGGCCCAGATGGGGTTGGTGATGTAGAGGTGGAGAGATGATGCTGTTGGAAAATTATAAACATATATTGCTAGCAGTTATCAGAAACTCACTGTCTAAAAGCAAGGCTGTAGAGCTAGCTTCAAGCATGCGTGATGCTTGATTTATTTCTTCTTCTCATGCAAGGAATGCTATTTGACTTTTCATTACAAATAAATTATGAGTTAAAAATCACTTTAAAGCACTCTGTACATATTTTTAAAAGAATCGGCATGGAATGGTAAAATGTTGACAAATAACCTATCTTTTCATAGTTGTGAGTCTTGAATTAATTCAGTCGTAAGAAATGGGAAGGTGCGTCTAAAGACAATGGCCTTCTCAGATGAGGTGGCCTGTTCTAAGTCTGATGTGGGATAAACAGGCAGAAAAAGGTGGACACAGGATGCTTTGCACTCAACTTTAGCATCAGGATATAAGACCTGTGGGCAAACTCCCTGAGAAGTGGTAAAGTCTGGCGTGGCAAGACAGCATTTCTCAATCTGATAACAGCCTACATTTCTAATCTCATCTTTTCATGTTGGTGGCACTCTGTCCACAGTGAGCATCAATGCGCCATCTCATGCCACATGCGTTTTAACTACTCTTGCCTCTTCCTGGCCTGACTGTCCCTGATCTCTCTGAAAGGTTCCTACTTATCCTTAAACACCTTGAGTACTTTCTCCAACTTTATCCATCCCCCCAGCCAGAATTAGTTACTCCTTCTTCTGTAACACTATCACTTAGGATTTTATAGTGTCATTATGTTTGTCAATTTGTTTCCCTCAGTGGACTACAGTGACTTGGGGACAGGGAACGTATTGATCTCAGCGTCTTCGTTAACCAGTAAAGCTCATATTTATCGAATGCACACTAAGTCCCAGTGTTAGGCATTCAGATTATTTACTCCATAAACTCCATGAAAGCAGAGACCATATTTTTTGAATGAGAAAAATTATGAGTTATTCACATATAAATGGTATGAATACTTTCGATGTGCTTCTCGCAAACTTCTATTTTTACTTCCGTTATGTCACTAGACCAAATCTCTTAAAGTTAGTACTTTCTAGATAAAATCAAATTTTATATCTCGTGGCTAAAAGTGATTGTGTATTTTTAGCAATCATTCTGTAGACATTAGGTAGTTTTATATTATTCTTTATGTTTCACAGAGGCGGAGTCTAAACACCATTCTTTCTTCTTTCCAGAGACAATAATTTTGACTATTTGGAGTTTCGCCTTTGGATTGGCCTGTGGTCAGCCTTCCTGTGTCTCATTTTAGTAGCCACTGATGCCAGCTTCTTGGTTCAGTACTTCACTCGTTTCACGGAAGAGGGCTTCTCTTCCTTGATTAGCTTCATCTTTATCTACGATGCTTTCAAGAAGATGATCAAGCTAGCAGATCACTACCCCATCAACTCCAACTTCAAAGTGGGCTACAATACTCACTTTTCCTGTGCCTGTGTGCCGCCTGACCCAGGTGAGGGCATCGTGCTTACTGTCTGCGCTGGCCCTGTCTTTGGAGGAAGGCGTAGGCTCCATGCTCGCAAATTTTCAAATTGCTGTCATGATCCTCAGGAATTGGGTCTTCTTTTATGTTCTCTGAGAAGCTAAGCTACTGAATTTGAAGTTTATTTGAAGTCGGAGGTATCTTGGTGGTGTGATTCAATCAGGAAGTGAAACCAAGAGCTCTGGAATGTGAATATAACTAGCTCAATATTGTGAAATTAACTCAAACTGCATTATTTGCAAGGAATTAATGTGCACGTTTTTTGCGATCTTATAAGTGAGGAAACCCAGATACATATATTAACAGATATAAAGATGGAACAGACCTAGTCTGCTGCTCCTTCCTAACTGCTATAGGAACCTCTTCCTTTAAGTAAACTCTTAATAGATATTTTAAGCTTATAGAAGAAACAAAGAAGTTCCCAATTCACCTCACATGATTTAAAGCATGAAATTAAAAAAAAGAAATTCAGATTGGAATTGCCTAGTGGTAAAGTAGAGCCTTATAGTTTATCTCTACTAGACAATGTAAATAAGAAAAGAAGGGAAAAGAAAAGAAGAAACAAAAGAAGGAACGTTATGTTCTAGGAGTAGATTTATATTCTAGAGTCAGGAAAGACATACAACTATAAATAACTTCTGAGTAAGCAATGTGATTCTATATATCTTAGTACTTTAACACCTATCTTGGAAAACATGAGTTGACATCAGAAATTTTTCACAAATAAAATGTTCAATTTGGTCTTTGGGATGTTTCTTGGAGTAATTCATCACCACTGTATAATATGGAAGGCATTTGAACAAAGGATTTACTTTGAGGAAAGTTGTTTTAGATCTGCTCTAGCAGAAAAACAGATAGAAAGTTGTGTCAGACAATTAAATGTTGGTAGTACTAGTGATCAGAGTTGTGCAATTAGCTATAGGTTGATGTCCCTTAACATACTGACTGCCACACTAGAAAAAAATTTTTTTCCTTGGGGCCATGGCGTTTTATTATGAAAATAGAATAAAAATTCGAAAACAAAATGATTCTTTCTAAGTTAGTGAAAAATTTGTTATTTTTTATTGTTTTCTGTGTATGAGTTATATGCAAATTGAAAAATAGTTCATGTGGCTCCCAAGGTAGAGACATGTGAGTTTCAAATGCTTCACAAGGCCCCAGGCTCAAAACTAGCATGAGTTAAATACAACTCACACGGCAGTTAATATGTTAAAATAAAACTTGCCACACAATCCATGCTTTTTGACTAAAGCCTTTTAGCACCAGAAGTATAGCAGTGTTCTGAGGCTGGGGCATAAATGTGGGGAACGTTCATGCAGTATCTACTTTTACTTATAGAGTCTGTGGAAAAACTTCCTGATGTTTACAGTAAAACACACATAGTTATATTATAGGCTAGAATGTAAAATGCTGTGAATTTTTAAAAGCAGTAAGATACAATGAAGAACTTTAGTGCTTGTGGCAGGCTGTGTCAGATTACTCCCAGATATTTTGGTGGTGCTACTCATTATTCTCTGCCACTTTGGGAACAGTCTTGGAAGACTGATACATATGCATCTTGAATGCTGGGAGAAAAGAGCTCTACCTCCCCCAAGATGGATCACTCAGTAACACTGATTAAAAGATAGGGCATTGTTGGGCTTTGCACGAATAGATTCTTTCTGTCTTGTTTAAGGTAAATCACAACACACATTAAAATGCAACCCATACTTAAAATCAATGCAGAAAGAGATACAAAGTAGAAAGTTAAAGATTCAGATGAACATGAATGATATATAGTTATAAAAGCCTGGTATTTTTCAGATGTATACTGATTTAAAATATTTCCTAATTTTTTAAAAGTGCTTTGAAAAAAATAGGCACTCAATACATGATATATATTATTACTAGAATCAATTAAACATGCTCCCCAAAGGAACACAGATGTTACCATTACACAACTATGCGGCTCTTCTTAGGCGAGAAGAGAGGTAAAACCCCCTGTAAATATACAGCCTGGACTTCCAGGGAAGTCCAGATGTTCAAAATATTGGCTTAAAGGTGTATTTAATTATGGGCTTTTGAATTTTCATTTTCATTTATTTGTATCTGGATATATGTATATGAAAAAGTCTGTAAGCTGACTTATTAGGCAAGTTTGAGTTAATCATATATCAAGATTTTCTAAAGGAAAAAAAAATGCCGCTCAGCTCTTCTGAGGTTTGAGGTATTCATAAAGCAGTTGAGGGCTTCGTCAGCACACCTGTCACGTGGGAAAAAGGACATGCCTGGTGTCAGCCCCATACCCACCTGAGACTCATGGAGACTTGCCTTCACTGTTTTATTAATTGGATGCTGGCAGAGAAGGTAATATGAAACCGAGGAAGACGTATCTGAATGTGGTCAAACTATAACAAAATGCATCAAAGATTTTACATGTAGTTTTCCTTCCAAGAAGGATCTTTGTTTTGTCGAAAAAGTGATATTGAGGATTGAACCGATTTTACGCTTGCGTGGCTGGTGTAGGCGTAAGTGGTGTTAGCTTTTCCTGTGTCCCTTTTTCCCCAGGTTGTGTAAAAGGTCAGTCCCAAATGACTAAGGAGCTGTTTTAGAAGGACTCTGACAATTCCTGCTACCTGCAGGTGACATCAGTAAAGCAGTGTAGCAGGGCCTTGAAGTCAGAAAATCTTGTATTCCAGCCCAGGCTGGCTGCTGCCGAATGTGTGACTTTTCCAAGGTAGCTTAGCCTCACCTTCCTCATCTGTAAAATAAGTTTAATAATAGTACCTACCTTATAGAATTGTTTTGAAGGAAAAAAAAGCTATTGCAGATAAAATACTCAGGACAGTTTCTAACAGTTAATAAGTAGTCAACTATTAGCTGCCACTATTACTGCTATTATTATCTATTAAAATTTAGGGTTAGTACTTAGCCCTTAAGTGTGAGTGATAGTGCAAACAAACCTGTCCATCTTCATCATCCTTCCTTCTAAGCATGTGTCGTTGGGCAATTGGCCCCTTCTCCAGTAAGACTGTTGGCTGCACTGCTTATTTCTGGTTGTCCAGATGATTTTCACTCACGATAGATGAGTACATGGACATGAAGGATTATTTAAATTTATGGAGATGAAATCTGTTTGTGGTTTGGAGAAAAGGCGAATGGATATTTGCACTTTCATGACAGAATCATGTTTAACAAAACCCCGTAAGATTAATGATTGTGTTATTTCTCCATAACCTTAATAATTTTTTTGTAGCAGACTACATAGATCCACCATAAATTTATACTTCTTGACAGAAAAGTGAAAATCGATAGTGAGAGAATAATACAGTTGCATGTACAGCTCAAATAAGTGTTCTAAAAACAACAGAAGACTGGCCTTTCATCACAACATGCACTCTTTGTAAAAGAATTCAATCGATGAGTCCATAATATTTAAACTGGCAGATGACTTGTTTTTCAACGCTGGGACAGTATGTAACAATGAACCAGCAACTGTGCGGATGGAGTCATGGTCCTGCAAACCGAGAAATGATTTCACAGGAATGGAAATAGGGGTCACTAATCACTAAGGAAACCTCTTTTCATGGCCACAATATATTTTGGCTTTGTGTGTGTGTGTGTGTGTGTGCTTTGTGAAGCAATTCTGCCTCTTCTCCTTCTGTTCTTTCTTGTTCTCACTTGCTTCTAGAAAGCCTCATCACTTCCTGATTGTTCTTCTCCAAACATACCTTTTCCTCCCTTCCTTAACTCCCAACTATTGCTCGGTAACCCAAGTCATAGAACTTTACTGAAGAAATAAGGAAGCTTAGTTGCAAGCGCTAGTATGAAAATTAGCCAGAAAGTTTGACACATATGAGTGGATACATGGCATACATGAATGTTTCAAGCTAAAATTTTCTTCTATTAGAAACGGAACAGCTATTAATGAATGTAGAGGAAAGAGATTTTATATTTCTCACTGTACCATCATGATTACATAGCATAGGCATGTAAGAAAGAAAATCATTTTAGTTCAAAAGCCAAAAGTGAAAATTGAAAAGTGTCCAATTGAATGACAATACACACTGTCTCATTTTATCACCATCATCCCAATTTAGAAACTGTTAATGTGGTAGAGCATAAGCAATAAGTGCTTGGGAATAAAGGAAACTGCTTTTGAATTTCAGCTCTGCTACTAACTAGCACTGTGACCCCGAACTAGGCTACTTAATCTCTTTGTTTCATAATGTATCAATTGGATAAGAGGTTACTATAAAGATTAAATGAGATAGTATAAATGAAATTGTTTGGCACCTAATGGACGCTGTGTAAAAATTTGTTTTCGCATTTCTCAGTGTCTTACAAGAGATGCCCCAGTCTGTTTAATCTTTTAGATGTATTCTTTAAAGGGGTTCAAACATTTAGTTACCCCAGGAATTTTCCTAGGGGAAGATACTATCTAGTCTTCTATGGTAAGCCTACCTCCTGCCTCAAAATTAACAACCAGTGTGCTGCTATAGAGAAGTATGAAAAATTGAAACTGTATTTAAAGAAAAAAAATTTAAAGGGTTCAGTACATCTTAGTTAAAATATTTAATCCTATCCCATTGAATCTTAAGACTACAAAAGTGTTGTATGATATATGAAGTCATGCAGAAAGGCTTTAAGGTTCTAGAGGTAAGATGTTCAATTCTTCTAAAAGGAAGATATTTAATTCAGTCAAAAGCATAAATGCTAGAATTTTATACCTAGGGAACAGGATGTGGACATCTACCTTCCTCTTACCTTCTCCTTTCTCCCTTGCCTTTTTTTTCCTTCTTGCTTGGTCATCACCAAAAATTTACTAAGGGTCTATCTCATCACTTTTCAAGAATTGTGCTACTTGCAATGAAATAGAATACACACACATTTATACATATTGCTTTTTATAAGATGTATTGTTTTTAAAATTGTGTTATTTTTTGAAGTCAAATTTTCATTATACTTTAAAAATAATTTTCTACTCTAGTACCTCTGCTCATTTGTCTATGTGTAAAAGTTGCATTGACTAGACACTCCAGGGCACGCTACTATTTTAGAAAGAGCCACAGTAAATTTTCTAACGAGGTGTTGGTTTTATATCTGGAAGAGAAAGAGGCCTTGA